CCAGCACATTGGGAGGCCGAGGCGAGTGGATCATGAGGTCACGAGATCGAGACCATCCTGGCTAACATGGTGAAACCCCATCTCAACTAAAAATACAAAAAATTAGCTGGGCGTGGTGGCAGACACCTGTAGTCCCAGCTACTTGGGAGGCTGAGGCAGGAGAAAGGTGTGAACCCAGGAGGCGGAGCTTGCAGTGAGCCAAGATCACGCCACTGCACTCCAGCCTGGGCGACAGAGCAAGACTCTGCCTCAAAAAAAAAAAAAAAGAAAAAAATTGGACTCCGGGAGGAGATGCCTAAGAACCAAAGAAAGCTCTGAGAACATGGATGGGAGCTCTGGATTTAAATCTAGCTCCTGCCATGTAAATTTGTCTCAAGTTTTAAACATCTGCCTCAGTTTTTCTCTCTGTGAATTGGAGAGAAGAGCACTACCATATACCACAGGACTACTGAAAGGATGAGCATTTTAAGAGGTTAAAAACATGCTGCAGACATAAACTACACATGCAATTTACAAGGTTTCTTTATCTGAGAAACCCAAGGTACATCAAGTCCATTCACATTGTTAATATACGCTGAGCATATGCTATAAGTGGCCAGAAGGTAATACAGGTGCTGTTGCAGCAATGGTCAGAACAGACAAAGTCCCTGTCCTTAAGGAGCTTACATTCAAGTCAGAGGAGATGGGAAACAATAGTTATATGATATGGGTAATACAATAATTTGTGGTGTGGATAAGTATGAAAGTTGTCAGAATCAAAACGAGATGTCTAATGTTCAAAAAAAAAATGAAAGAAAAACCTGACAAATAGAACAAAGGAAGGCCGTGAAGAGAGGTCTCACACTTGTATTCATGAAAACAAAAACTATCACAGCTCAGACATAAACTACACATGGGGTGGCATTTGACAAGGTTTCTTTATCTGAGAACCAAGGTACATCAAGTCCATGCCACATGGTTAACCGCCGCGACGCTCGAGCCCATATGCTATAAGTGGCCCAGAAAGGTATACAGGTGCTGTGCAGCAATGGTCCAGAACAACCACAAGGCCCTCGTCTTAAGCTGAGCTTACATCAAGTCCAGGAAATTGGGAAACAATAGTTATAGAATGGTCAATCATAATTTGGTGTGGATAAGTAATGCAAAGTGTCAGAATCACAACGAGAGTCGTCTAATGTCCCACAACAAAAAAATGAAAGAAAACGACAATAGAACAAAGGAAGGCCCGCGTGGAAGAGAGGTCTCAACACTTGGTCATCAATGAAAACAAAAACTATCAACAGAAGGATGGCCTGGGGATGGTGTGGTTGTCCCCCCACTAAATTCTTACTTGTCTCCACATTACCACGTGTCAATGGGAACGGGCCTCTGTGGTAGGTGATTAATTCAATGGGGGTGGGTCTTTCCCATGTTGTTCTCATAATAGTGAATAAGTTTTTTTTCCCCACCCCCCACGAACCGATGGTTTTATAAGGGATCCGCTACACAAAACTCTCTTGCAGCTGCCCTGTAAAATGTGATTTTCCCCTCCTTGCCCTTCACCATGATCTGTGATTCCTCCCCAGCCATGCGTGGAACTGTGAGTCCATATAACACTCTTATCCAGCCCAGGCGCTGATAGCTCAAGGCCTGTAACCCAGCCGTTGGGACGCTGAGGCGCCGGCGGCAACATCACATGAAAGTCAGGAGTTCGAGACAAGCCCCGGCCAACATTGGAGAAACCACCCTGCCTCCTACTAAAATGTAGCTGGGCCATGGGGGTAGGTGCCTGTAATCCCAACCTACTGGGGAGGCTAGGCAGGAGACCGACTTGAAACCCAGGAGGTGGAGGTTGCACCACTAGCAAACCAACCGCCATTCCGCACTCCACGTCCTGGGCAACAAGAGTGACCTCCTTCTCCAAAAACAAAACAAACAAACAAAAAAACGAAAAACCTCTTTCCCTTAAAACCTACCAGTCTCAGGTTGTCTCTTATAGCAGTGTGAGAATAACGTAATACCAACTGCAAAAACCCACAACCCTTGCCCAAAGCCATCCATAACTTACCAAAAAATACTTCTTGCAGACATCTGCCCAAGCCCCTGCTGTTGTAACTTGGGCCTGGGTGTCAGCCTTGTTACTGGATCTGTGGTAGACCAAGGATACATATTTCAAAATAATTAGTA